AGGCTTCCCGCGAATCAAATATTCGCGGGAAGCAGGGGAGGGGGCGGAGACTTTGGGGAGGGGTGGGGTTGGGCGGGGCTGGGGCGGGGTTGGGCGGGGCTGGGGGCGGGGCCGTGGAGTGTCCTCCATTTGGAGGCACAAAATATGGTAACCCTAGTGGTACCAGGTGCCAGAACTGAGAGCAAAGAGACTCTCCTGCCCTCTCAGTGATCCACCTCTGTGTTGGCACCCAGCAGCATGGCGGGAAAGGAGAAAGCAGTCTGATGTGGAAGCAGAGAGGTGAGGAACGGTGTGTGTTGTGTGTGAGCAGAGACAGGCGTAGGCAGAGCTGGTGCTAGGCATAAACAGACTAAGCAATTGCTTAGGGCCCTGAGCCCCCACCCATTACTTATGTGTTGCGGGGGGGAGGGGGAGAAGGCAAAAATATTCCTACTTAGGGCTCCGGGTGGGCTAGCACCGGCACTGGCTTTAGGGGAAATGGGATAGAGACTGGCTGTAGACTGCAGGGGCAGGACGGCGGTATAGACAGGCTGTGTAGGGGTGATGGGATCAGATGGGGAACATATTTCCTATGGTGCCTATATTGCTGTTCTTAGGTTTCATGCTGTGTGTCCTGGTGTATGCTGGGGGAGGCTGGAGCTGGATTCTGCAGGAAAGGCTCCTTAGTTTCTGTGCCCTTCTAGAGGGCAGACTGGAGAGTCTGAGGCAAATCTAGTGTGGCATCCCTTGTGTTGTTTGTTTTTTATACTAAATTAATTTGATTTTATTCTGCTCTTAAGCTGTCAAGGCCAGATCCCTGGGTCTGGTCACGCTTTGTTGGGGGTTCTTCTTCTCTGCTGCCCTATGAGGGTATAGCTCTCTGTCCCCTTTACACTGCCAGAGTGGTGCAAAACAGATGGCGTCTGTCCAGTACTTAATTTGTAATGAAAGAGGTGCTGGGACTCAAGCAATTTTTTTTACATTCATAACTGGTGCAGCAAGCCCTAGAGGTGCCGGGGCTATGAACTGCCAAACCTAGAGGTGTTGGGGCTATGAACTGCCAAGCCCTGGCATAAATTAAGCCCTGAGTCTGTCCCTGGATCTCCATTGTACTGCAGAATTTTTACTGAAAACACTTCACTGCATTAGAGAGACTGTAAGGGGAGAAACTGGAGGTTTTGGCTGCTGGGTAGGGGACAGTTAGGGCTTTTGGGACCCAGAAAAGCATGGGAAGTGGTTTGGGATTGTGGGATAAGAAGATTAGCTGAATGTTTTTGCTAAAATGATTGAAAGAATTTGATAGTTAATGTTGACATTTATACTGTCATTGTTAGGTTTCAGCATTAGCCCCTATTGAGATGGTTGGGGGCTGTTGTCACTTCACAGCTTTTGGTTTGGGTTATCAGCAGAGCTAGGCAAACATCATGACATCTGGTTACACTCGTAAGGTTCTTCCACAACCATAAGGGCTAGAATAACATTTTTTATATGAAAGCTTGGATTGTAGAGCACAGTTCTGTGAAAACCCTGCAGCTGCAGAATCCTGGAGTACAAGGAGGCCTGCCTGTCTTACTGTACGTATGCATTCTCTCCAGGTGGTGTAAGCAGGCCTGATCCTTTCACAAATTGTTCTGACCACAAATTGTCACAAGGACATGGCCACAACATCTCCTGTTGGGAAACCTGAGGTATTACCACACTCAGAAAAAGGAGAACATTGCAATTCATATTGAATATAGCTGCCTTCACCCTACTTCTATACACCACTCACAGTGGTTTCCTGAAAGTACTTTATTTAGTAGGTTGCATGTAGTGGGCTAATTGGTTTTTGCTACAGAAACCAAGTCTGGTAAAACTAATGGTGTCTTCACCTGTGAATTATCTACTAGGTTTAAACTTTTACAGTAGAACCATAGACTAATGAACACCTCAGGAATGGAGGTTGTTTGTAACTCTGAAATGTTTGTAACTTGAACAAAACATTATGGTGGTTCTTTCAAAAGTTTACAGCTGAACATTGCCTTAATACAGCTTTGAAACTCTTCTATGCAAAAGAAAAATGCTGCTTTCCCTTTATTTTTTAGTAGTTTATGTTTAACACTGTACTATACTGTATTTGCTTTTTGTTTTTTGTCTCTGTTGCTGCCTGATTGTGCACTTCTGGTTCCAAATGAGGTGTGTGGTTGAGTGGTCAGTTCATAACTCTGAAGTTCTACTGTATTCTGTTAAACTCATATAGAAACAACAGTTTAGAGCTCCTGTGGAAATACTGATGCACCTTAGTGATTTGTTTCAGTGCTGTTGCTTACTGGTGCTCACCTGACTATATATGATATTGACAGATGAAGCTGAGACTGCTCCAGCACAAAAAATGCAGTTCTCTTGCAGCAGGGTATGAGTAACAGCTAATAAAGACAGTAAGGTGTTAAGGCCTATCCTATAGTAGGAGAATCGGGCCCCCAAATATCCAGTCCCTAAGACATGTTTATGTACTTTCTCAGCTATTTTCTGAGGATTGCGTTGTAAAATACCTTAATCTACACTCATGCCCAAAAATAATTTACTCCAGTAAAACAGGATGGTCAATCTGGATTGTTTCTTCTGTGCTGTTTCTTCCCCATTTTAGCACTGCTCTCCTTTCCATAGACTGAGCTTGCAGTCCAACCTCTCTTGAGTCACCATTTGCCTCTGCTCCTTATACACTTCCCTGTTGAGCTTCAGATTCGTGGTGCTGTATACCAATTCCCCTTTTCTGAGTTATAAAGGCTACTGGAACATTTTGGAAGTAAGGCTATTTAAAGGAGAGTTTTTCACATTTTATTTAGATTTCACCAATGAACAGAGTGTATAAATATGTTTATCATATATTGATTTGGGCTCCATAAACCAAACACAGAGTTTTGATGCATTTTAAGGAAATAAATACTGTAGCAATTGTTTCTCTTGAAAGAGCAAAATTGTGCAATGTGAACTGCAGGCTCTTATGGAAACACAGTCTTTCCCAAGGTGGCATAAGTAAATACCATTTTAATAATAATCCTGGTGCACTCTGAGGAAAACTGGCAAGTTGTAGAAATAAATAAATTTCTCTGTAAAATGTTTAAACATATTGAAAAAAGAGCCAATATTTAATCAAAAGTAATGAAATTAAAAAAAGAAAAGAATGTCTTCTAGAAAATTCCTAACATCATGATAACACAGCAAGCCAAATTCTGCTCCCAGTTCACCAGTGTATATCCAGACTAACTCAACTGACTTCAATGGTATCGCTTTGGATTTACACCAGTGGAACTGGGAGCAGAATCAGGTTCAGCATCTGTGTAAGCATTTTACAGTTTTAAATGAGAGTTAAGGGCTCGCAGCAGCAGAGTGGTTTTGAAAAAGTGGCTGGAGAAATAGCCCAACAGTCCCAAGGACACAAACAAAGATGAATATCCAGAGAAACAGTCTGTCCACTACCATGGCAACATACTTCCAATCTTCGATGACCTGGAAGAAAAAGCCAGTTAAAGATGCTTAGCAATTTACCATGTTCATCTCCATCTCTTTTGTTGAAGCTCAATATTTGTAGTTTGTATATGAAAATAAGAGAAAACAAATCGTAAGGTTCAGGATCACCACAGGGGTCAGGAAGGAATTTTCCCTCATATAGTCCTGGACAGTTGGTGAATGACACTAGAAATAGTTTACACCCTGCTCTGAAGCATCAGATATTGATCACTACTGAAAGCTTGGTGCCAGACTGGATGGACCGTCAGCATAATCCAGTTAAGCTCCTGTGTGTGAATTTTAATTTGCTGATACTATTCATCCCAATTAACAGGAATGAACAATACTTACTGCTTTTAAGAAAAGAATTCTGTAGTTGATCTTGATTCTCAGTATGCAAGTGTTTTAATACATGTTAGCACTGCTGGTTGTACTCAAATCCCTGTCCAGTGTGGATGAGATCCTGGACCCATTGAAGTCACAATGGGAGGTGTGCCATTGACTTTAATGGGGCCAGGATTTTACCCCCTATCCTTACATTCAGTTCTTACACTACAGTGACTGCAGGCATACTAGTGAGTTGTAAAGGGAAAGTGTTAATCTTTTTTATCACTTTTATTTTTTCCTTTATAATTGACTCTAGTTACACATGGGAACTCTTCCTCTTAACGACTTTACAGTACTTCCCAATTGACTCCTGCCTTGTACTAGACCATTACATATTTTCCCCCTCAATGCACACATGTACCTCCCATTGCCATTAATGGGTGTTACATGCTTCTGAGAAGAGAATATACTGTAAGTACATGAACAGTTGTTATCAGACCATCATACTAATGGAAAAAGCAGAGATTAGAATTATGAATCTAGAAAACAATGGTTTGTAGCTAGGCACTTGAAGTTAATGTCAGAGGACCTGTGTACAGAAAGCATTTAATTAACGTTTAACTTACAATACCTTGGATAATTGCTCTTTAGTCTAGGGTGAGGACAGGGAGTTTGTGAATCATAGGACTGGAAGGGACCTTGAGAGGTCATATAGTCCAGTACCCTGCACTTATTTTTTAATACCCAGTACAAGTTCTTTACAAAAGCACAGATAGTATTGAAACACTTTTTCAGCATTGTGAGGCCTATGCTCACATCAAGTCCATTTCAATTTGTTTAAATTTAAGGCTATATTTACAGATTTAGCATCTGGTCTTTCTTTTTTCTGTTGACCAGTAATTCGTTCCTTGAAAATGCAAGAAAGTCACCAGTGTGGCTTTATGAGGGACTCCTGCAAGATCTGAGGTTAAAAAGGACCCAGACTTTCAGACTACTTAACTTGTATATTAAAAGGAGAGGAGGAAGACAGAGCAGTAATGGAGAATCTAAGGCTAGATTGGGAGTTGGGGAAGAGGAAGGTAGGAAATTTTTCATGGATGCGGGGTGGGTGTTGTGGAAATTCATGAGTTTTCATCTGTGCCTTCTGAGATTTGCTGAATATTACTCAATGGATACTTATATGAACTTTAATGTACTAGCTATGGAATGTGTCTCTATGTATCACTACAGGATGGCAGTGGAACTGCTCAAATGTGTGTCATAGGTCTTATACTGCTAATAGCTTATGGAGAGTCTCCTTTCGCTCAAGTGGAAGAAGCCTCAGCTTTTGCAATATGAATATCATGGTTCTATCCACTCTTGCCAGAAAGTTCTGAATGGTCTTGGGAGGCAGCATAATGACCACCATGTGTCAACCACCCAAACAGGGTATGGAGGGCTAATGGATAGAGGGCACTTTTAGTCCAAAATAATAGTGTTCCTAGAAAGGGTTTGTGCCAATCTAACTAAATCCATTTCTAAACCCATTTAGTTAAACTACTTTGTGTAGCCCAGCCCTAAGTAACTTACTCTAGCACAGGGGTGGGCAAACTTTTTGGCCTGAGGGCCACATCGGGTTTCCGAAATTGTATGGAGGGCCAGTTAGGGGAGGCTGTGCCTCCCCAAACAGCCAGGTGTGTCCTGGCCCCTGCCCCCTATTCAACCCCCCCCTGCTTCTCATCCCCTGACGGCCTCCCCAACTCCTGCCCCATCCAACTCCCTCTGTTCCCTGTCCCCTGACGGCCCCCGGAACTCCTGCCCTGACTGTTCCCCCACCACCCAATCCAACCCCCCCTCTCCTTCCTGCCCCCCCCAGGACCCCTGCCCCCATTCAACCTCCCTGTTCCCCGCCCTCTGACTGCCCCGACCCCTATCCACTCCCCCGCCCCTGACCGCCCCCCAAACACCCCTGCCCTCTATCCAATCCCCCCCTGCTCCCTGCCCCCTTACCACGCTGCCTGGAGCACTGGTGGCTGGCGGCGCTACAGCCGCACCGCCCAGAGCACAGGACGGGCAGCTGTGCTGCCCGGCTGGAGCCAGCCACACTGCCACGCAGCACTGAACACCGGGTCAGGCCATGGCTCTGCAGCTGCACTGCCCAGCAGGAGCTCGCAGCCCCGCCGCCCAGAGCATTGCCGTAGTGAGCTGAGGTTGCAGGGAAGGGGGAACAGCAGGGAAAGGGCTAGGGTCTAGCCTCCCTGGTCAGGAGCTCAAGGGCCGGGCAGGAGGGTCCCATGGGCCACATAGTTTGCCCACCTTTGCTCTAGCAGAACTCAGCCATGCTCATGGCTGGCTTACCTGCAGTCCCTTCATTGTGGGCCCAATTATATGGTGTTTCCTTTGAACAGGTATTGAATGTTAACCTTCTCCCTGCCACACACTAGCTGGGGTCTCTACACCCCGTTACCTTCCTGATGTGAAAACACAGTTTGTTTAACATTAACTCATCTCCATCTCCCTCCGCCCCAAAGCAAGAAATGTGTTCTGTTTGTGGGTCTGAGATTCTTGCCTAGCACACTGCTTTTTAGAACAATATCAGCTTTATCAAATTGTTATTCATAGGAAATTTATAGGAAAAGAAACTTATTACTAAACAGTGATTAACTATGAAAATTATAGCTAGGATCGCTACAAAAATTAACACTAAGGAAGATGGTTGGGTTCTTATTTCCCTTCTGAAGAAGAATACACTTATTTGAGACATCAAAAGAAAGAAAACTGGGGTTTGGAAAGATGGGAATGATTTGTCCTGTTACTTACACTCTGGTCGTTGTCCTCATTTTTCATGTGGTCTGCTATAAAACTGACTCCATCAATTGCTTCTTGGACTTCTGGAGAAAACTTCATTGAAGATCTTAACCTAAAATCTTGATGGCCACTGATGTTATCCGGATTCTCAGTAACTTTCAAATCATATTTTTTGGCAAAGGCTGTGTTCACAAAGTAGGTGGAGTTTTTGTACAGGTCAGCTGGATCAGTGCATAGATGATCAGATTTATTCTTTCTGCGCTTGCTTAACCTTTGCCATGCAGAGTTATTCTCTGGGCGTTTCATGAACAGAAAAGTTGGAAGTTTCTGAAGGAAAACCACCTTTACCCATGGGGGCATAGTGTGGGTGCTGGGAGATCTGTGATGAACATTCAGTACACAGACACTGGTAACTATTGAGAATGTTACTAATACCATTGTAAACATCAGATACTTCCCAATCAGTGGAACATCCAGTGATGTTGGAGGGACAATTTTGGAGATCAGCAATAAGAACACAGTCAAGGCAAGCAGTACAGATATGCATAAGGTCATCTTTTCACCACAGTCTGAAGGCAAGTAGAACACGAGGATAGCCAATGATGTAATAAGCACACAGGGAATTATAAGATTGATGGTATAAAAAAGAGGTTTCCTTTTAATAATAAAGTCATATGTCACATCAACATACTTTGGGTCTAAGGGGTTTACAGTCCTTCTTCCTGGAAGTGCTACAATATCCCATTCTCCACTTGGTGTAAAGTCATCCATGCTTGCCATGGGAGTTTTAAGTACCATATCAATTTCTGTGTGATCATATGTCCAAGAGCGGAACTTCAGTGTGCAGTTTTGTTGATCAAATGGGAAATGCTTCACCTCAATCTTGCAGGCACTCTTGTAGATGGCTGGAGGCAACCAGAAAATGCTTCCATTGTTCTTTACAATCACATTTGTATACAAGGAAACTTCATATGTACCATCCGCACTGAGGAAATGGGAGAAAAAATAAAGAAACGGTGAAAAGACAGAATATGGGTTCAAAATACAGAAAAGTACATTCTCAGCCCCCTCTACTGAATCCAAAAGAGGTCCCACTGTCTCTGCTAGAATTAAACTTCTGTACCCTTGCAGTGATGAAACCCAATCCTCAGGTATTTATAACTTGACAATGAAAACTATGTATACATTTTTCAACCTGGGAATTAACACTTTTGCCAATATTTAGACAATGTCATTTATTAATGATAACGTGTATGTCTAGTGCCTGTTTCATCCAATAATCACAAAGTATTTTATAAACACTTAATTACGCATTATTACACCCCATTGGGATGTGTAAAGAGATGTAAAGATAAGATCACCCATCACCAAAATGCAGCCACCTTTGCTTTGGAACAGAGCCATTAAGAGCACATGGCAACACTTTTAAACAGTTTTGAGCAGGAAGTGAAGAAGAATGTTATATTCAGTTGGGAATACAGGGGGAACATAGGCAGAATGAATGCAATTACATGAGTTGTAATTTAGGCAGGATAATTGTGATTAAAGCTCCTGCTCTTACTAAAAGTGCCATGGGATTTTTAGTGCCCACAAATTCTCTTGGTTTTGTGTCTCATCCAAAAGACTAAAACTGTACCGGAAGAGTGTCCTCCATCACCGAGGTGGGTCACTGGTTCAGCGGGAAAAGTGTGCCCTAAGTAATGGTGAACACCACTTCCAGATATACTTTAGTGCTTCTTGCAGGTTCCTTGGACTAACAGCTTGATGCCACTTAGCTTATGATATTTGTTAGGGCAGCAATGCAAAATGGCATGACTGCAAATAAACATTCCTGAAAGTATAATCAGTCTGAGATAGGTTTAACGGAAAAGGCTGTTAAAATGATCCCAAGATTATTTTGCTTAAATATGTCATCCACTCAAGCAGCACTATTTCCCAAATTCGTATTTGTTGATAAACTTAACGGATCCTGTTATTGAAGGACACCGTGAGACTAGAAAAGAGTAACTATTCATCACTTTATTTCTCTGTAAATTAACAAACAAATTAATAAAACCTTGAGTAGGACCCTCATTTTTAATAAAACTGGGTTAGTCAGTTTTTAAAGTTAGATGAGAGAAAATATAGTAAGAGAGAAATTGTCTGAACTACAGTACTTTTTATATTTTTCCTTTTCATTTTTATTAAAGAAAATAAGGGGGGGAATATATAATTTAGAGGCAATCTATCTTGAGCAAAAAAATCAGATCAAATTCACCACTGATATAAATAGCTCCATTGACTTCAACTGAGTTGCACCCACTTACTGAAGCAGAAATTATATGCCATAATATTTAGAAATAGGCATAAATAATTATTTACTGTTAAGAAAACTCCTTGAAGAGGAAAAGAGCCGTGTAAGTATTAACATTTTTCTTCTAAGTAAAGTGTGAAACAAATAAACAGCCAAATAAATTCTCTGTGTGTGACTGCACATCAATACTGTGTGTGAGTACTGATGTGCAGAATATATATATAATTATATATATATATAAAATTCTCCTAATCCGTTACAGTTTAAAGGTGCCAGTCTGACAACCCCAGAGAATAAAAGTCAACTGAGACCATCAAAGCCATTTCCTGTAGGTAATTAACAGCCACCAGAGGCAAGCATGTTTGAATCACTGACAGCTTGGGGCAATTACAACGAGCAACATCGAAGTATAAGGCTCTTTAATCCATTGCCAGTCATCTGGTACTGAGCAACATAGAATCTCTTTGCCTTATTAATTTTATCTCTTCATTCTAGTTCTATCAGCGTGGATCTACAAAGGAACCCAGGTGTGATGCTAAGCATCACAACGCAGAACTTTTAGGTGTCTAGAAAATCACAGAAACAACACTGTGACCCACAAAACCTGAGTTAGGCACCTGGCACCCTATACAATGAATGGGGAGAGAGAGGCTCCTTAGAATATAATCCACAAAAGCCAGCATGCTAGGTGGGAAGCCACCTATACTAGGCACTGGGAGATGCTGACCAAAGGAGTGTGTCCTCCACCCTGCTCTGCTTTCAGAGATAGGTTCTTAAGTCTGGGCTGCAGGGAGCTGCCTATCTGTTCTAGTGATCCATGAACTGTGAGACATGTTCTGGCATCTAAATTGATTGCAGGGCCTGATCCAATATATGGGCTCAGAGGCCACCTAATTCCACACAAAACAGCTGGGAGGATGGAGGAGAAAGACCACCCTTATAACCTTTAGCCCAATGGTTAGGGTAATCACCTGGGATGTGGGAGACAACTGGTTCTAGTTCCCCCTCTTCCTGATGAGAAGGGATTTGAACAGGGATCTACCACCTTTCCTTGGAGAGATTTTTCATTGTGCAGTATACAATATTATTCATTTAAATAATATCCTAAACTTACTGTAAGCTTATTTTCCCTGCAAAAGAAAAATATTTGTTTTTTTTTCTTGTTAAATCAATAAGATTTTTGTTTCTGTTTAAAATCTTTGCAACATTTTTGTATCAAGACTTACTTATTGTAAAGCACAATGTCTGGCAGCCAGATGTGCTTAGAAGGGATTCTCAGCTTATTTATGCCTTCATAGTCAGAGGGCTGCCAAGCCAAACGATAGTCAGTCCATTCCTAGAGAAAGAATTGTACAGCAGTGATGTAAGTTATTTTGTGTCAGTCAAGTCATATGGACAACAAGAAAGCAATGTGTTGCGATAGCATCCGCAGGGGATGATTACCTGGTTTAGCCAGACATTTGTGGTCATGATCTGTTCACGTTCATTCTAAAGAAGGAAAAAACATTTATAAATCTATACTGTACAAAGTTAGTCCTATTATTAGGATTTATTCATTAATCTTTAAGGAATACCTCAAACTCCTGGCTGTCTAAAACCATTGCATATAATGTAAAATCGACCTTTTACAACATTAGGAATCTTTCTGTGTCTACTGGTCTATCACTGAAATGCACAATTCTGACTATATTAATAATCACATAAAATATGACAAGGTACAGTATTTCATGCAATTATGTAATTCATTATAACTATTAACTAAGATGGACTTGGGTATGTGCAGATTTAAGAATCTGTTTTAAAAACCCAAGAACAAGTAATGGGTAAAGTAATAGTCTTCTGGCAATCTTTTTCTATTCATCAGGCCAATGGAATTGTCATTTTCGATTAGATCACTAGTGGGGCTAGTACAGGTGGGGGCTCTCGTCCACGCTGAACTGGACGACCTGCACCTAGGAGTATTAAAAGAATTGGTATGGAGCTCTCTGAACGACTACTGTTGATTTTTAACAAATCTTGGAATACTGAGAAAGTTCCAGAGGACTGGAGAAAAGCTAATGCTGTACCAATATTTGAAAAGGATAAATGGGATGACCTGGATGAGTGCAGGTCAGTTAGCCTGAAAATGATCCTAGACAAAATCATAGAAAGGTGGATATAGAACTCAGTCAGTACAGAATTAATGGATGGTAGCATAATTAATGTCGGTCAACATGATTTTATGAGTAATAGGTCTTGTCAAGCGAACTTGACATAGATTTTTTTGATGAGATTACATGTTTGGTTGATAAAAATAACTGTTGACGTAATATACTTAAAATTCTGCGAGGCATTTGACTTAGTCCCACAGGTCATTCTGATAAAAATAAACAGTGATCCTAGCAATATGCAGAATCAATGAGGCCCATATTAAATGGATTAAAAACTGGTTAACTGATAGATTGCCAAAACTAATTGTAAATAGAGAATTGTGATTCTGTGGGGATGTTTCTAGTGGGATTTCAGGGGAATCTGTTCTTGGCCCGATGATGATTTGTAAGAAAATATAAAGTCATTGCAGATAAAATTTACAGATAACATAAAAATTAGTGGAGTGGTAAATAAAATGAGGATAGATAAATTATAAAGAAAGATTTCTATAAAGTTGAGATTCCTGAAGCCACACCAGCTTTGACATTACCATAAGAACCAGAAAGATCCCAGCAATAGAACTAAGGCTTATTCTCACTGCAGTTTTGTGTTGATTCAACAATGTAAATAATTCTACCAGTGATCCAAGAGCAGCAGCACCCTTAATAACACGGATGATAAAAACAAAAAGGCTGAGAGAAGAACAAAGGAGTGTAAAGCAGAGTGACCGGTGACAGTTACTAACGTCTGAGTGAGGCTGGCAGGGAGTGGACACTGTCAACTAGCTGAGACCCCAAATATTGTCCTACACAAAAACGGCGAGAAGTATTCTGATTCTAAACATCAACAGAGGGTCCTGTGGCACCTTTAAGACTAACAGAAGTATTGGGAGCATAAGCTTTCGTGGGTAAGATGCAAGTCTGAAGAAGTGAGGTTCTTACCCACGAAAGCTTAT